TTCAGTTTGCCAGCCGTGCATTCAAAAAATTCCTCAGCGAAATGGGCATTAAGCAACAATTCACGGCACCATATACACCGCAGGAGAATCCGACGGAAAGAGCAAACCGGACAGTTAAAACCATGATAGCGCAGTTTGCGGGACAGAACCAGAGGAATTGGGACGAGAAGTGGCCGGAGATTATGCTAGCGGTAAATTCAAGTACGTCGGAGTCAACAGGGTACTCCCCGTGTTTCCTCACGCAGGCTCGAGAGCCTCGACTGCCCAGCGCCCTGTACGACAGGGAAACCATCGGCACGGGAAAGCAGACGGAAACGCCTGAAGATAAGGCCAATAAGATGAAGGAAATCTTCGAAATTGTGCGCCGGAACATGGAGAAGGCTGCTCAGGACCAAGCCAGGCATTACAATCTACGAAGGAGGCAATGGAATCCAACGATAGGGGACACAGTCTGGGCGAAGGAGCACCATCTGTCAAAGGTAGCCGAGGGTTTCGCGGCAAAGCTAGCGCCGAGATACGACGGACCGTACACGGTAATAGACTTCGTCTCACCAGTCATTTGTAAACTCCGCCACAAGGATACGCAAAAAGAACGAACAGTCCACGTCAGTGAGCTTAAACAACAAACACAAGAACTCGGTACAGACAAGCAAGGACAACACAAGCAGGCAACAACATCAGGTGGTGCGGACTATAGCGTCGGGCATAAGCCAGAGTCTATATAGACCGCAGGATAACACGAGCATGCAACGACAAAAAGTACAGACTATATCGTCGGGCATAAGCCAGAGTCTATATAGACCGCAGGATAGCACGAGCATGCAACGACAAAAAGTACAGACTATATCGTCGGGCATAAGCCAGAGTCTATATAGACCGCAGGATAACACGAGCATGCAACGACAAAACGTGCGGACTATATCGTCGGGCATAAGCCAGAGTCTATATAGAACGCAGATAAAGAGGAGGCACAGTGACCCAGACAACGAGGCAAACAGATTCTGCGTCGGGCATGAAGCCAGAGTCATCCATTAATACGCCGCGAAGAATAAGGTAATGCACAGTACAAGAAACCGAAAAGACCGCAGGCCAACAACAATCCGTAGCGTCGGCAGACTCTGTACGGATCGAGGAAGACCACGACCAGATCTTTTTCGTTCCCGAGGAAAGAGGGGAGACGGTACAGCTCGAGAGCTTTACCGTAGCATGCCAAGCCGGAAAAACACTAAAATAACGCGCACACACATAAACGGCCACAGTTAATTAGTTAGCATGCCAAGCCGGAAAAACACGAATATGACGCGCACACACATAAACGGTCACGATAAAAAAAAAAGGGAAAGGCACTACGTATGATCCGGCAATCTGAAATGAGAAATATACATGAAAACCGGGGTCGCAGGGAAACAAACCACTTGCCAACTAAATGCAGAACGATGCAAGAAAGCGATGAGCCGAGCAGGGTCATCGACACCGGCCCCAAGGGCAGGAAAGGTCAACTCTGCAATCCTGGGCCAAGCTTTGGGGAAAAAGAAAATAAGTAAACATGAAATAGAAAGGAAATTGCGCTTACCATAGCATTGTGCGGAGTCACTATAAACAAGGGATGGGGGCGTTTCGATTCATGGTCACCGATTGGCCCTACACGATAGTGTCGATCGGTGGGCACAAAATACTGGAAATATCGGCACAAGGAGTCACGCTGTGGAAAATCGATACATCGAGTGGCAACGCCACGTTGGGTCACGGAATCGATAACAATTGGAGACCGATCGGTTGGGCGGAGAGTGACCGTACAGCGGAGAGTCACACGGGGAATATCGATATCCCCGATAACAACTGGAGACCGATCGGCACGACGTAGAGTGGCCATCCGACGGAGAAGACATATCGGGAATTCAAAAATCATCGGGGGAAACGTCTGGGCGGGAATTCAAAAGTCTACGGGGGAAACGTCTGGGCGGGAAATTCAAAATCTGGAAGGAGGATCGGCGCTGTGGAACTCCATAAGGAGCTGTGAGCGTCGTGGGAACCATCTGGAAGAGCGAGTCGACTGGAAGACTACAGGCGAACGAGGAGAAGACACGTCGAGGGAAGGATGTCAGAATGTGGAGTATACCAATGCAGAGAGAACAGCGAGTCTCTTTTTTATTCCCGAAGTAAGGGGAGAATGTGAGGAGTTGAATAACTCCCCACAAGTTAAGAAGCAAGCAGAGTAAGCGCATGCAAGCAGTGGCCTACCAGTTACCAGTTACGCGGCGAATTCACCCGTAGTAACGGTAGTGCGGAGAGAGAGAGTGGTGAACTGAGCACCAGACAAAGCCAAGGAGAGTCCGAGAGGGACAGCAATACAAGAGAGCGGCGAAGGGCCGTGGGCAGAAGGAAGAAACGGGACGGCACCGGACTTTGGACCCTGATATTGGTGCCGGGCGCAGAGGGCGAAAGGTCGAACGGTAAAACCGTGGACTTTGGACCAGGAGGCAAGGAGACGCCGATAACTAGCGGTAAATGGAGGCCTATATAAACCGGTCGAGCGCAGGAAGCTGGATCGGTCGATTTCTATCAAGTCAACAAGTAACAGTCATCAAGTGAACAAGTAACCAGTGAAACATTGTGAAGGAGCAAGTAAAGCCGTGCGGAGTCATCAAGGAAACAAGATCGCTACGTCGAGACGTTCGGGACTTAGAGCTAAAGTCTCCGAATTGAGACACAGGTAGCTGAGGTCCTTACGGCATCACACGGCTAAGTCCAGGCGCTTTGTTACAACTTCTGTCGCGATTTGAGCTTGGCATCCCACCCGGCGTGTTCGACAAAGTGAACAAATAGAGTCCTTCGACGAAGAACCGTGGGCTCAGAAGCAAAGTGTCCAGAACTAGCTACCTGCCTACAAGGACTGCATTGGCGAACTCCGGCGTATGCCTGATCGTCCTGCAGGAACTGTACAAGGTCCTGGTGCGACTAGCCCGGAAGGACGCGCGTTTGTTCAGCTGGTGTCTCGAAAGGCGTATGCGTTGAGAGCACAGCGGTCCACCGCTAGAGTCCCAGAACGGCAGCTTACCGAGTCGCCAACAAGGAGCGGAGCTGGTCGAGATAGCTGGAGGCGGACAAGGACAACGAGGACCCCAGGACGACGAAAACGAGCGTCGAGCGAGCAGCCCACACTTCGAATTCTTAAGCCTGCGGCAGAGAGGTTAGGGTGGAAGCGTTCGTCTAGAACCTGGCGTTTGACCCAGGGACTGCGTTGGCGGCTTCCGGCGTACGCCTGAACCGTCAGGTAGAAACTGAGCCGACGTCCGGTGCGACCGGCCGGGACAGAGCAAGGGACAGGAGGCTGCGGCTGCGAAAGGCGTACGCCTTGAGAGCACAGTGCCTGTTCACCCTAGTCTGGGAACGGTGACGCATCCCTAGTCCCTGTAAACCCGCCGAGCCAAGGGTAGCAGAAGACATCGCAAGCAAAACCGGCGAGGAAGACACCACTTCGCAGCCGGCACGATCCAGAGAGGCGTTCAACGTGGGAAGGAGACGACGGCAGGACGTGATTCTACATAACCAGTACACCACCCCGGCCGAGGGTCAAGTCGGCGAATATAAGATCACTGCATACTCCCAGTCTTTCTGTGTGTTTTCACTGGTCAAAAGGGCGGTCACGTATATATAAATTTGGTGGGACGAACACTTACATCTTCTGAGCTAGCCGCACGACATTCGTAGCGAGCAGATAATAAAGAAAATCAGTTCGTTACAATTTGATTGCGACAGGTGCAAGTAGGGCTAATGGTCAAGTTGAACATTATGGGCACCTTAAAGAATTTATTAACGGCCGTTGAAACTAGCAATCGATCTTGGCAAGATGCATTGGGAGAAGTATAATTAGCCTTAAACTGTACGGTTAGTCGAGTGACAAAAGCAAGCCCCTTGGAATTGTTTATCGGCAAAGTTGCTCGCGCGTTGGGGTTGCTTCCACCCTGCGATATGGTAGAAGAGGTCGACTTGGCAGAAGTAAGAAAACGAGCAGGTCAAAATATTTCAGATGGAGCAACATATAACAAGGAGTAATTTGATAAAAACAAGGCTAAAATTGTTGGATGCAAGGTTGGAGATTTCGTATTGTTAAAAAATGAAGAGAGGCATCAAACAAAGTTAAATCCAAAGTTTAGGGGGCCGTTTCAAATAACTGAATTGTTAGAGGGGGATAGATATATGCTCAGGTCTTTGACAAATAATAGAAAATGTAAATATGCTCATAATGACATAAGAAAAATGCCAAATGCTCAATTACCAGTTGAATTTAAAGATGTTATAAGGATTTAAATACTGTAATTGAAATAGAAACTGTTGAAAGAGACAGTAATATAGTAGTTGCAAAAGACACTGTTGAAAGAGACAGTACAGTTGTTTTTAAGAGTTAATAATGAAATAATGTAAAAATAAACTGTTGAAAGAGACAGTAATGAAATAGTTGAAAAAGACACTGTTGAAAGAGACAGTACTGAAATAATGTAAAAATAAACTGTTGAAAGAGACAGTACAGTTGTTTTTAAGAGTTAATAATAAAATCTGTAATAATAATGTAAGCACAAGTGCAAAACAATTGTTTGTTTGCATGTGAAACCGAAACTCGCTGCGCTTTTACAATGTCGGAAAATAATATCAATGCTGCAACATATGTATATATACTTATTAAATTTAAAAATAAAACAAAACAGTGGTTTTTAATAATGTTTTTAGGCAGATAAATCACACCTTAAAGTTGCTTGGGCACCGCGCGTAATATGTTCCTTTTGTATTGTTGTAGGTAGGTATCTGTTGTTTGACAAGATCTGTGCGACTGCCCTGGCCGAACAAACTTCAGAAGCTTCAACTTCAAGCTACAAAAATGTTGGTAACATTTTGGACATAAAAATAAGAGTCCAAACGCTCTTGCAAAGGAATGAATTTTAGAGATAATTAGATTACGTTTATTTTAATATTATTTCTAATTAAACAAGAAAAAATGCATGTGACCTTATTTTGGTTATTTATTTTTTTGTAGCACAAAATAAAAAAAATACAAATTTATACTTCAGAGCAGGACTGCTCCAGTATAATCAGAAATAAAAGACTAAACTAGTTTAAATTATAGTTTACACTATACTGTAATTACTATATTACATATATTTGCTTTTAGATAATGTGTTTGTTTATATGTATTGTATTTATTAATATTTTTAATTGAATTGAGGTTTCTTAAAAAAAAATTAAGTTTTAACTGTAACATGTGTTCCAAAATAAATTTTTTTAGTTATACAAAATATTCTTAAATGACAAAGATAATTTTATCCTGCTTACGCATAATCTGCATCACTGTTTTCATCATCTGATGACTCATTTTTTTTTCTTTTTTTTTTACTTCGAACTTGACTGTATTTGCGGCCACTTGACTTTGAAGGTGAAACGGTAGATTTAACGATATGAGCTATTGATACATCACGCGCATCCTAAAAATGAGTAACATAAACACAATAATATTTAAAATAAGCAAACCAAATTAACTTACGTTTCCAGAAGTTGCAGGTAATATTGAAGTTTGCATATTGTCAATAGTCACAGAAGAGGTAAAAGAGCATCCATCACTGGCGGTGTAGGAATTTTTCATGGAATTAGTATATACTATACCATCAGTCGAATTATTTAAAGTTGATTTGTCGCGGAATTCATCAGGATCTGAGTCCGCATCTTCTGGATCAAGTTTTAACATAAGTTGCTTAAACTAAAACCAAATTAGAATAAATTGGAAAGAACATTTTTTTAATACGTACATCAAGGTACTTAGCAACTAGGTCCAGTTTCTCTTCGTTCGTAAACGGAAAATGGATGTCTGTGCTCAACTTCTGTTGCGACATCTGTTTTTTGATAACATCAATAGTTGTTTTCGGATTAAAGTCAGTAACGCTTCTACGTGTAACAGCTTTTTCATATAATTTTGGTTCGGATGGTGAATACCTTGAAATTTTACTATCAGTTATACCGTACATGTCCTTTAAATGATCTTTTAATATTAGAAGCAGCATACACGCTTGTGCTGATGTTATACATTTTTTTATTTCTGTCATGTCTTCGGGCAATCGATTGAACAGAACCTGTGGATCTTCTACGTCATCATCATCTTCTAATACATCTCTTTCTTTCTCAATTGGTTTCAAATGTTCTTTAAACGTAGCGAGTAAATGTGTTCCAGCCATTGAGATTAGTAGATCTATTTGATGTATCAGATATAATGGCTCATCTTGAACTACATATGGGAAGTAAGCCAAATTATCGGCTATATACAACATTTGTTGTAATGATGTTTTCTGATCATCAAACTGTTTTGTTACTGTTTGCACTAAGGCACGCCTTTGTGGCTTAGTTGTACGAAGCAGGGAATAAAGAAAGTCGTTTAAAGCGGTTATCATATTATCTGGTCCTCGATTCCTTAAATTAAAAATGATTAAAATACGAAGTAAAACAAATATTGTAAAAAAAAACATACCCATAACCTCTTATAATTTCCATTTTTCCTCTGTTGTTTATTTGTAAAACTTTTTGTAGCTTAAAGCAAAGTTGTAACCCAAACTGCACTTTCATATTTACAAATCCAGAATATGTTTTATCGATATCTTTTAATAAAGCATCAGCTCTATGGGCGGACTACAAATATGTAATTGTTTTAGATTTCCAAATGCATAATAAAAATGTAACACCAACCTCGACCTTAGGATCAGTACTTAAGCATATTAAATACGGAACCATTCTAACTGGATGAACTAATCCTTGACGAAGAACAATCTGTATTACTTTAACAGCCCACAATCGAACTGTTTCATCCCGATTTAAAAAGCATTCAAGAATTTCTTCCAGATAAAGTTGAATTATTCGACTTGCCATGCCAGAGGAAACGTCGTTCATTTCCTTAAGATCCTCGTGCTTTGATTGTTTTTCCCCTGAAAATTAACATTAAAAATTTCAGTTATGTAGTAGGGTCAAGTCAGGGTCCAACAAAAGTTAAATTTAACTCTCTAATAAAAATCTGCACACAGAAGCCGCATTTTCAAAATAAGTTTAGTTTTTGATCAAAAAATGCAAAAACCATCAGTAACAAAAAAAAACAAAATGGGACTTTGTAAACGGGGCATGCTTCTTTTTACAAAAAATTTTAGTATAGACTTATCGGGGCCTATCTGTATTCTTAGTTTTCGTTTGTATCGCGTGGTATTTATGATATCGCGGTTTGAAAAAAATAACAATTCATTAGGACTTTTAAAGTTAAATTGCTTAGATGCCATTGCTTATATTTGCATTGAATTCGATTCTATCATATCTTAAGTAAAACGAAAATATACATAAAATTTAACGTCCCAGGAGCCAATGTTTTTTTTAATTTTTCTTCATATCTTAGTAAAACAAAATTAATGAATATGTTAATAGATGAGTTCACCTCTTTTTAGGAGACATTTCATATGGTGATCCGGCTTTAAAAAATATAAAGAAAAATTACTACATGTTAATATTTTACATGCGTGTAGAGATTAATGTTTCCTGTTTTTTAAGATACCAAACACAAATGTAAGTTAAATTTTTTAATATATATAGCATTTTTTCCTGAAATTTTTAAAAGTAACGTCTCATAAGCAAGTAACAATTTTCTCAAAGATGTATCATCTTTAAGGTCATAGGAGCCAATCATTTTTGTTCTTAAATATGGGCGGGCTTTTTCTAAAATAATTAATTATTTTTAAAGGTTGACCAAAAAGATATGTTTTTTCCCTCTTTTTTGTTTGTCGATCTTAAGTGATTGAGTTTTTGGTTGAAACAAGAAAGAAAACAAACTTTGGAAAGCAGAAGTTTTATACATTAAAGCTGCCATTGCAAAAATTAAATATTATATCGTTTTCCGATTTGAACAAAATTAAAATTATTATTATTAAACCAATACTAAATCCAAAAAAAAAAAAAAAAATAGAGAAGTTACAATCTGATTTCATGTATACTTTCTAACATTGTTGTGAGTTATATGATATTACCGTCCAATTTAAATACAATTTTAATCGTTATTCCGAAATTATAAACCATCAATATATCTCGAAGATATTAAAAATAAATTTAAAAACTGAAAAGTTTTATTTTTTCCTTTTTTTTCTCGCGATTGATGCGATGGGGTCCATATAGTTAAGTCGTCCGATCCGACTTGTTCCAACCTATGTACTGCCTGCAATACAAAGACAACTTTTGGGAAAGTTTCATTCAGGTAGCATTAAAACTGAGATACTAGTTTGCGGAGGGAAAGACGGACATGGCTAGCTGGACTCTCTTAGTGATGCTGATCAAGAATATATATATACTTAATAGGGTCCTTCAATGAGTTGCAAATTTCTGACTGAAATTCTAGTACCCTCTGCAAGGGTATAAATAGTTTAAAAAAGGTTGTACCTTTCTTTTTGGGGGGTCCTGGATCTGGTAACATTACATGTAGCCAGTTGCCTAGGTAGCTACCTAAAAGTGTGACGCCACCTTTTACCTTAACTAAGTAAAAATTTGAGTTATCTTAAGAATTGGCTTTATTAAGAATTTAGGTTCTAAAATATTTTTATCTATTTTTGATTTCAAATAAAATAAGGCCTAATTTCACTGCAACTTGGAGATAAGTTAATTCCACCGCATATGCAAGATATATAAATTATATTACTTTTTACATTGTTCTACAACCAGACTTAATTGCCAGATCGTATACACAATTTTATAATCCAACTGCAATTTCGTGAAGAACAAATGTTTAAATTTTATAAAATTTGGCTATAAAAAAAATTTGGTTTACCTTATTTGTACTATTTACGTTAACTAGATACTTGACAAGCCGTGTACATTTTTACCTTACCTAAGTACTTAGTTTCTCAAATACCTTGTACCTTATCAAGATCGAAAACACTAGTACCTTTCCCAACCCAAAATTTTTTTTTATAAAACTTGAAGAAATTTAATATAGTTTAGTTAACATAGGAATAGGAAAGATCAAAAAAGTTGGATAAAAAAGTAATAGGAAAATCCAAAAAATCCTTTTAAAATTGGAATACCCTATGAAGGGTAAGAGAGCTGCCCAAAACTGAAAGTTGTAGAGGATGTTAATATAGCCTGACGTCTGCAAACTAAGTAAGAGCGCATCAACTTTTCTTCTGTTATAAAAGTTGAACATTCTTATACATTTCCAGCACAAGATACCATGGCTCACAGTATTGGCTTTTCTAAAATCTAAAGGAGTAAAAACAGTTTTTGCCTGCGTGCTTTCACATGTTTCCTGACTAACTTCGATAAGGATGTTTTACAGCTCCTTTTGTTGATTAAAAACGGACTGTGTGTTATTCAACATCCCATTTGTTTTTATGTGATATTTGGCTTGGCCATTAGGTTTAGAATTTCGTATTGCCTGCACTGTTAAATGATAAAGTTTAAATTTTTATGCATTGAACCATTTTATATTAAATTTAGTGTGAATTTAGTCAGGCCATGCTGCTTAGAATTCTACATAATTATCTTGTCAATTGCAAAACCCTTTTCCAAACAAAAGCCTTAAGGTTACATCTTATTAGCGCCGGCGCAACACAACAAGAAAATTCGGCAAGCTTAAGTTTATATACCTTGCAGCTTTTGCAAAACCTAAATATTTTTTTTACCAACTCAATTTCGATTTTAATGCGTTTATGTTTAAAAATAATCTTAAATGGACTATTCAAAGTCTTAAATATTTGACTCTAAGGACTTTTTTAAAGCTTAATAACAACGACTTCTTACGTGGCCCAGAGCTGTTGCTAAGCTTAAACCAAATTTTTAACTATTAATTTTAATGTTAAATATGAAATTTTTATTTCGGGGCACTGGCTTATAGGTTTGAAAGCAAAAACGTTCGATTCATTGTTAATAAAAATGAACATTCTTTAAGTTTTCCGATTATGGCAGATAGATCTCGGTTCCATCTTTTGACTATATTTTATTTAAATAACTTTAAAATTGAGAGACTAGTTTGCGAAACGAAGGGACGGTCACGTATATATCGACTCAGCTGGTGATGCTATCAAAATGCATGAAATATTTATCTCGACCAAAGTTATATTCGAACTCGCAGTTTGTTTTCCCATGCACAGGGGTGGTCACAAAAAAATGCGGTTTAAAACGGTTAAAAAAACAGTATGATATTTTTCAAATATTTTATTATTGAATAGCAATGTTGGAAATGTTTCGTTGCAAACTTTTGTCTGAAATTATAATACCCTTTGCAAATTTCAAAAATTAAATAAAAAAAAGTATTTCGTTGATTTGTCGACATTTCAACACTTATTTTCAATGAATTACATTTTTTCCACCAATAACTCATTAAATCGAATAAATCTGTATCCAAATTGGTAAAATTGGTTGAATATAATATAAGCTCCAAAATAATATACGTAAAGGTGGCCAAGTTTTCATAATGCCTTAATTATCCGTGACCATTTGGCTAAAAACAGCACCAATACCATCCAACAACCACCGAATTCACCGGATTTGGCTCCCTGCGACTTTTACCTGTTCAGTCGACTTAAAAAACATCTCCGCGGAACGCGTTACAGCAGCCGAGACGAGATCATGGAAAAATCGAGCGAGCTGACTTTAAAATGCGTTTTGAGGATTGGATCAAGCGCTGGCATAAGTGCGTAGCAGTCGACGGGCAGTACTTTGAAGGGAGACAATATTGATTTTGATGAATAACTTTGTATTTTTGATTTTATTAATAAAAGTCGGGAACTTTTTGATCAAGGGAGTAATTGTAGGTACGCCACAAAGTTAGATTGATTTATTAATTTTCGATCGAATCGGACAACAAGGGCAGAGATTTGGGAAGGGATATATTTTTTCAAACGCTTTAACTTTAGTCTTCAGCAATTTATGACATAACCAATTATAAATTGTAATTGTTTTTGTTAACTAAAAATCCCTCAATAATATGGTCCCAATAAGTACAAATGCGTTTCAAAAACAGATTGTAATTTGGTGCTTTGAAAGTCGGCTTTAAATTCGTTTGCGACTAAAATAGTGCAAAAAATCAGGAACTATAAAAAATTGTTTTTAACTCCTTACAAATTAAAAAATCATAGAAACAGAAAATAAATTAACCTTAAATAATTCAACTTTTGTTGGTCCCGTCTTATGTTTAATATACTAACATTCTTTTTCCTTATTGTGCATAAACATTTCAGATTCCGTTAAATAAATCCAAATATTACGCATGCAGATTATTTTAAACCCGGCGTCGTTTGCGATTGAGCTTAAAATATCACAATACAAATTTTTAAGCTCGGATCTGGTAAGATAGTCATCGTTTAAAACGCAGAAAGATCCAAGCGAAATAAGTGCTTGCTTTCGAATGTCTTGATTTCCACAACTACAGAAGAACATCAAACAATCGAATACATCATCACATATCGAAATTGGAAGTCCACCATTTGTCTCACCTAGAAGTATAAAGATAAAATCATCGCAATTTAATAAAAATTACTTACCTAAGGCAATGGGAGACTTAAAATCAAAGTAGCGCATTAATATTCCGATCGTAAACAAACTTCTCCGAAAGCTGGGGGTGTAAATATGATCTACACTGCAGTTTCTTTGTATAACTTGATTTCGAGAAACATCAAGCACTCGATAAAACCTAAAAAGAAGAACTACTTGATTACAAAACGAATTAAATAAATATAAAAACTTTTTTGGGAAAAATTAAAGTAAAAGTCATAAAATTTGATATCAGAAATTTGTTGATACAATCGTCACATTATTCTTACCTCGTCAGGAGGTGTTTTTGTTTTATATCTAAAGTTTTCGTTTGAGACTACAGTCTTTTTACTCCAAAGATCCAAAGCCTTGTTACAACAAAAAAAACATAGCACACAACTTCTGACAATGCATGGAAATTTTACAGTACTGTTTTATATTAAAACTGTTGTAACCTTGTATGAATCTATGCAGCAGTTTTCTGTTGACAATAATTAGATAGCTCTAATTTCTGAGTATGGAGGAATTCTCAGTTTTAAATCAATCTGCCGGAAAACTTTCTCAATAGTTGTATTTCAATTGCAACTAGTTTATTTGTCGGATAAGACGACTACAGTATTATATACCTTCCATAGGAACAATAGGAAAAAAATAAAAAACAAGAACATAAGCTAACTTTGGCGAGTCGAAATTTATAAAAATAGAAAATTCACTCAATTAAAAATAACTCACTCAGAAGATCAAAAGCTTTCGGAAACCGAGTCTTGATCCACAAGACAATTAGATTTAAAAACCAATTCAGTTGAATTTTTTTTTTTTTTAACTAAACTTATAGTTAAAGTTAAAGTGAGCGAGGTTAGCAGATAAACAGAGTCATCAGCACCAGTAACCATAACAGGTCAGAAGGTCCTTTAAGGAAGGCAGATTCAAAAGGGTCAACCTGTCTCTGTAAAAGGGCAAGCGGCGTCCTGCTTTTCAGTTTAAACCTCTTATCGCTAAACAGGAGAAACTGTTTCTGAACGGATTCTATCAACTCTTGATAGTGCTCGTAGTGGGGGGACCATTCATTGGATTAGTCTATGACCTAAAAAGAGTTTTGTAGTGTATGGATCGTCGAATTCGTTAGACCAGTGTTTGATGAAAGCTAACTTTCTTGGAAACAGATCTGACGTGAGGATTAAAGCAAATTATATGGTCGAACAGACAACAAAGTCATTAACAGTAGTTATGTGTTCCAGTGCAGTATGATCAATAGAGTATGTGCAAGGATATGGGTTGGATCAATTAAACGACATGGATTTACATTTATCTGGTTTAAGCAGTAGCTTGTTGACTTGGCGACGGAATTGACGGTTATTTTTAGTCGAGCTGCAGCTACGTAAAGGAACTTGACGTCATCCGCATACATATTAGCTTTATTTGAGAAAGAGTCTTAATAAAAAGGAAGGATGCAAACTCTAGATTACCAATTGATAAACCATGACAATATATCGAAGAACAACAAAAAAAAAATTAAAAAAGGAAAAGGGAAAGTTTTAAAATTTTTTTCGCCGATGTTTCTTAGTGAGCTATATGCTATAGTCCGGCTCGTTAAGACATATATACCACCTGCAACAGTAAAACCACTTATGGGAAAGATAGCTTTAAAACTGAGGGACTAGTCTGCGTAGAAACGGACAGACGGAATAACACACGGATATGGCTAGTCCGATTTTCCAAGTGATGCTGCTTTAAATAGGAACGAAACCACGTCAGTAAGTGTTAAGGAATTCCGAGAAGGAGAAGCTTGTGAAGTAGCTCATGGTTGACCGAGTCACCGGCTATTTTAAAGTCTGTGAAAATTACATCAGTTTGCTTTGAGGATTGAAAGCCTTGATTAATGAAGGTAGTAGCAGATTAGTCGTAGTTGATCGACATTTTGTAGAGCTATGTTGATATGGATATGACTTTAATAAAAAAAAATATGTATGTGCCCATATTGTTGAATGTTCTATAATTTTCTGTAAAGAAGACATTGGCAGCTCAGTAGAAGCGTTATCTCACTGGCTGCACATTAATCTACTCCAATTATAACTGCTAATAAACCTTCCGACAGCTGTCGTGCTTCTAGAAATATTGGAGAGAAGGCTATTGCGCGAGTGGCATGCAAAATATCATCTAAAAGTCGCAAACAGCAAACGATATCCACTGTGGAATACTCAATCAGGCCTATGTATATGTCCACCCACCGAGAGTGAATCACCTTTACAAACACAGACAGGAGATTTGGCTATCAGCAACGAAGAGGGGCAAATCCACTAATCAACAGTTCAGTTCCGCCTATCGTATTTCAGTCAGGCTCATTCTAATAGATAAGAACAACAGATGTTGACAGTGGAATATTGACGTTAAACGGCAAACGGAAGACGGAATATATTGGGAATTGGTTAGAAGAGAGAAGATTCAATAAAATAAGTGCCGTATGGATATTTTTTTTTTTAAGTTTTAGAATAGCACTATGTTTGGCAATGTCACGGTAGCTGCTAATGTCAGTCTTTCTGCCTTTTTGTGAAGTAGATTAATAAAGGATTCCTTTCAAATGGCATAAAAGGTGCATTGATCATTTGGTTTATGATAGATCTTTGTCAACGGAACTGAAATTGATCCGGCGCATGAGAACACAGCTGCACCATAGACCAACCAGGGAGTTGCCCACTATACCATTGGGGCCCGCGCGTAACAAGCTCGTGCTTGGTTTCCTTGGGCCACTTGATAGTGCATAAACGTTCAACAATATTTTAAATCAATACTGTAGGCACTTCCAAAATTTGGTATAGGCTACTTTTAGTCATTATTAAACAAAGCACTTTTAGGTCTTTTGATGTGTTTGCATTCTTTTTTTAAATATAAAATTTAAAAAAAAATCTCTCGGTTGTTATGGGTATGAGGATCCTTAGCCAAATAGTTGCCCTATAGTAAAAATATCATAGGTCTAGGCAGTAAAATTCAGTTCGGCCGTTATTAAGAATCAAAGAACCCGTAAAATTGTCCTTTTTGGGATTTAAGTTAATTTTTTTCGAAAACTGAGGGTGGTGCAAAAATTCTTAGAATTTGGTCGTGCTCAGCACACAAAGATTTGTTACGCATATATAGTCGCACCAATGTATTTTGTCATCAACTTCGAATGGTTGCACAGTGTTATTTGTCCGAAAAAATGTAATACCTGACCGTAAAACATTTGTTATTTAACTGTGCATTTTAAAAACAATTTAGATTTAACCACGACCTAGCACCGTTGGATCTCAGCGTTGTGATTCTGGCACTTGGCCCTTGATTTACTTGCTACTGGTCTCGATTACGCACTTGCTCTGATTTTTGCACTATTACTTCGAGGTGAGCTGCACTTGCGCCGACCTTTAATATCCTGTGGTGGTCCCGTTGTTATCCTTCTTCTTCAGCCAAGGTCCACTGCCATACCGTTAGTACACGGAGCGTATTTTGCGTTTGACTTTGTTGCCCATGTAGCCCTTGCCGTGAGTCGAATGTCCTGCTCGGCACCGTTAGCTCACGGTGTCTCCGCTTCATCCGGGTTCAAGGTCCGTTGCTTACAGTTTGACCTGAGTGCCCTTCAATCGTTCGGCATTCTTGCCTCCTCCGTTGTTGACATGCAGCTCTCCTGCATCAGGATTTGTGGATCTTAATGCCCCCTGCTCTGGTAACCGCATCCTGATGCTGCTATGGTACTGCTGTTGCAAGGCTGTTATTGCTGTTTTGGTTGCGCTGGTTAGGATGATGGTGCCGATGGAAACCGCGGGGTGTGCGCTGTGGTGTGGTGCAATACACCGTACCCCCCTTCCCCACCAAAGGTTTCGCCTGCTTCTGCTAACGCCTGAGTAATCACTGCCAGCCTGCGCATCATTCCGGTGCTCCTCCTGCAGTACCTTCATGTCAGACTGTGCAGCGGGCTCTTGTCCATATTAACTCCTTGATTCCTTGATCAGGGCAATAACTTATGGGCGCCAGATGTAACGATCTTATTTACTATATCTTGCTCACTACGTAAATTAAACAAATTGCTAAAACTTAAGTTCCGACAACATAAAAAAAATTCTTAAAAAATACATGTCTGAGTAGCACTTAAACTTCGTGTAGGTTTACAAATTTAGGTAATTTTCTCTAGGTTCGCTCTTACAGCTCTTACCTTTAGACCGCTCACTGCTCGTGCCAAATCAGAAAGAAAGCTTAGTTCAACACGCGCCCACCTTTCAAAGAAATTAGGGACGTGCAATCGTTAACTTCAATGTATATCGATCCCACTACCGATCACGTACCAATTGCACTTGTCCTAGTGTTAGAAATGTCCCGCTGAACTAGTTTTTGGAAACTGTTGTAACTTGCACTCTACTGAGTTTTTCCAATAAATTAGGAACAGAGGTGACGAAATTTATGTGTTATTAACCTCGTTTTCGAAAGGGGATCGTGGAGGTGTTAGGTATAAGGAAAATAATATAAATGGACAGTTGTATGATGAGCGTCTTCTGAAGTGGACGGAGTAGTTCGTATTATGACCGCATCACACAATTCGTGTACAAATATAAGTTCTAAATATATGCCATTCTCATTAAAAACTGAATCAACTTGACCAAGGGACATGTCAATAAGACCAAACATGAAATCGTTCTGCTCGTCAGGAATTAAGGCAGTGAGTTCGACAATTGAGAGACCACCATAGGCATAACTTATTGGCCGCAAATATTTCGCAGTCCGATACAGAGGAGTTGAGCCAGGTTCCAGTAAAGGCTATCACATTGGCATCAAAGGAGACACTATTGATGTGCAGTCTACGGAGCTTTCCCAATAAACAAAGATGAAGGAAATATCAAGGACCGTGGGAAAAAGTAGATTGGAAGTCAAATTTTAAACGAAGATATATTCACTTTAAAATTGAATTTAGAGTCAGAAAAGTCATTACCAGGAATATTTATTTAACAGCTCAAATGGGTACTAACATTGTTTTCAAAAGCACTTCGATTTGCGCGGAAAACATAAATAAATTTAATATTAGTTGTTCTAATATCACAGAAGTGGTGGCCCACGGGGGTATTTAACGGCACACTGTGGCTTGCAGAGCTATTTCTCTAGAGGCAGAATTAGTATTCATTATACCGGCGGAAGAACGGGGGGTCGCGGTCTGAGACGTTGATGCATGGTCAAAATTGGTAGAGTGTGAACCGGGAGTTTCATTGGAATCAGGAAATCCAGAATTAGGAGCACCGAATTGGACAGGATCAGAAGATAACTTTTCATTATGTGATCCGTTAACTGTGGCCAGTGTCAACCGGACACGCCGCAAGAGTATTTGGCAAGGTAGAAGAACACTTCTTTCTTTTCGGAGAGTCTTAAAATTGGATTCCATCATCTGGAACCGACTTAGGAAGTCTTTAAATCCGGCTGATAATGATTGGATCTCCAGGTGAGTTTGCCTCATAAACGCCTTTATATCAATTTTGATATGCTCGGGCGCGTCTAGTCCATGCCAATATTCGTTTTCACGCGATCAGCAATTTGAGCACGAGGCCAGCGCAAGTGCATGACAATATTTTTGTTGGCATTAAACAAAAGTTAATGTTGATATTTAAATAAACAACAACAAACAAGTTATAGCGCTTGGTGCATCTGCAGATGGTCCAATGCCTAGATGTAAAGTAAGAATTGGTGGCGCCATCTAAATCTTGCCGGGTAGGATCGGTGGCCTGGCAGGTTAAATGACCAAGCATGAAATCTGGGTAACAGGGCGAATTGTCAGACTTTTTCTGAGTGAGAGAATTTCTCCAATTAGGTGGAGAGATAGGTTGCTGCCTATATTGCAGCGTCATTTGCCGCCATTCCTAGATTAGTTGGCTCAAAAAGTGGTGTTTAATATAAAGTTCAAAGCAAAAGTGCTTAATCAGGAGAGGCAACCGTCAACAGCAGCAGCAAGTATCACGGTAAAGGAACCAAAAAGGAATAGCCCAGCATTAGTGGGATTGCGGCCTAGTCCAGGGTGAGTGAGAAGCGAATGAGGTCAGTTAGATTTTCTAGATTTTATTGCATAGGTGTAGGTCAAAAGTTGCCGCCCCAAGTCCCAAGAAGCAACACTCTAAATCGGCGAAGGCAAGCGCGACCCGTAAAATCGGCGGAGGCAGGCGTACCAGAATTTTTTGCAAAACCGTGGTGGCCACAGCGCAAAACCAAAATCGCCGCTCCAAAAGGAGAAGGAGAAGACCAGGGACGGGCGGCCAGCAGAAGCGCATAAGAAACCGGTGATCAAAGCAGTGTGCGGCGCGAGATCGAACGTTACGCCAAAGTCGACGCTGGCGTTGAAGGTTTCGGAGTTGCACCAAGGGAAAGGGCATAATATCTTCCTATAGTTTAATCGTCATTCCCGACCAGAAATTAAGCAGCAAAAGCTGCAGCAGTGTGGAAAAATCAATGGAATTAAATTAGTCTTAGTGTTTTTTTCTATTAATCTTTAGTGTGCGAATGGAGTGAGTGATCTAGTGAGTGAGTGAAAAAGGTATGGCGATTTTGGAGTTTTTTTTGGTAGTTTTACATAAGAAAATAGAGGTTAAAAAAATAAGAAAAAAAGGAAGGGAAAGATAAACCCCTGCAAAAGTACGAGCATTCCTTTGCGGTATCGGGAAATGTTTAAATAAATACAGTTTTAAGTTCCTCCCAAATTGCAGCCTACCGTAGCCAAAAGCGCTTTCATTGGTGGATGCTTATGAAGGTCATAGATAGGGCGGGCAGAAGACCTCCTCGGTCATCGGAGGTTATTTGGGCTAAGAGTAACCTATGTCCCTCTCCCCTATTTTAGTATGAGTTTTCTACTTCCGGTTTTAGAATGCTTGTCTTTAACGCGAACATAAGTATTAGGATCATAAAAGGCATCTATGGAATTTGCAGCAAGACCAACCCCCCCCTCATAGCCGACCAGGCGGACTATCGCCCGCGTGCGCTCAGTTCCATACATCACCAACTCGCTTGAAATCTACATTATTCGTGATTCCTTACAAAGTCAATTGATTATCGTGCTTAAGTCTAATGAAAAAACGTAATTTATTTACTCCATAATTTTTGTCTACGTTCCAGGTCTTTTAAAGGGAAAACAAATATAATAAAATGTGGAATCCGACGTTAAGGTGTGTGTTGAAACTGTTTTATTGTCCTATTGTTCACTGTTTTGAATGTTTCTGGTTTAGCCGAAAAATAAAAAAAAGGTTTAGTTTAGAATCCATGCAAACCAACGCAAGGGTTTTGCACAAATGTATCATTCCTTCTTGCCCGTTTTTGCCTCTTCTCATTAAAAAAAAACATTTTAATTCTGTAACTTAACGATGGTGGTCGTCTAGACTTGCACACAGAGCCCCGTGATTTCAATTTTTGTAGAATAAGCAAAGACAGCTGAGCTTAAAAAATTTTAAAGCATTTTTTGTTGCACGCAAGAGAGAGCCACCTGTGTCGATCACAAGCGGACTGCAAGCAGACAGGACATGCAGTGCGGACAAGCAGAATTTTGGGTTTAAGAAATTTGAATTGTTCTGGAACCGTACCCTCGTTGACTGGCAGTCGTTGCAGTCACTTATTCCTAGTACTGCGTTGTTTACTTACACACCCGCATCCGCTTTTGCCTAGACGAACTGCCGACCCAGACGACACTGGAGTGCTCTTAGTTTCGATGACGTCATTTACACTGCGCAGTCTAAACACCAACTCTACATAAAGTGTTGTGCTTGTTGGTGTTGTATGGAAATATGCGTCGGAAGCCCGGAACAAAATATCATATATAAAAAAATAGTTATTAAACATTAGAAAAACGAATCGATGTCATGTTATCGTTAATAGACCGAAGTACTTAAAGCTCTCGACTCAAAACAGCACAAATATGTTAGAACTGAAGTTTTCAAAACAGGGATAGACGTCGAAGTACAAGGTATATAGATATTACAAAGACTTAAAAACCTAAAAACAATCACATACAAAAAGTACAAAAGGACGAGCAAGCCATCTGATTTTTCGAAATAAGTAGTTAATCGATTGGATTTTAGTGTTCTTAAAAGTTTATGCTATTCTATGTATTTGAAACGGTGTAAAGCCGGTTGCTTTAATGCACAAGCAGTTTTATAACTTTGTAAGTGTCAAGCGAAAACTCCATGCAATTGCTGATTTATTTGCCAAATTCTTCTTCTACCTATAGTGCGGATTTTTGTCTAAACTCAAATCGTATAATTTCCCCGGTAACAACAGAAAGTTATCTTCTATGGGATTTGAAGACGTGCTTCCTGGGGGCGTGCTTAAGATTTGTGAATCAACTATTTGTAATTTTGTCTACCTCAACAACAGTTTTTCCAACTATCTGAAAAGATTTTTTTTTTATTCCACTCCATAAGAAAAGGAAAGTCGGATATTCAAAATTATATGTCCAAATATACCTAAAGCTCTTGAGCGCATTATTACTTCATCGCGAAAATCACCTATAAACATAGTTTTCTTAAGCGAATTGACATATATTGTCGTTAAAGGATTTAATAATAAAATGCAGACTGATGTTACATATACAGATAAGTAAGATAGTAAGGCCATTAATTCTGTTAATCATGTTCTTCTTTTTTAAATTAGATCAGCTCGGGTTTTCGAGTAATCTTTTTACTTGAATTTCAAGTTATCTGAATGGAAGAACTCAGAGGGTTATTTTTAAAAACGCAGTTTTTTATATGATTAACGTAACATCTGGAGTGCCTCAGGGTAGTTATTTGGGCCCATTTCTATTTACTTTGTTCATTAATAATCTTCCCTCTGTCATAACACATTCTCGAGTTCTAATGTATGCTGATGATGTTAAACTTTGTTTGTCGTATAACAATTTGCAATTGGTTTTCGGCTTACAGTCTGGTATTGATTGTTTTCAGATATGGTGTCAATCTAAACTCTTCAATCTGAATTGCCTTAAGTGTAACATAATGACTTTTTAAAGAACTAGGAGATCTTCTTGACCAAATAATAAAATTTGACTGTCACATAAAGTTTACTGTTAACAAGGCTTTGAGTTTATTTGGGTTTATATGCGATGGACGAAAGAATTTGACGATCCTTTTGCAAATAAACTAATATTTACTTCCCTTAAATGCCTGCTTTAGAGACTTCAAAAAATCGATTTTTTTTTGCGTAAATCACTTCCTAAATTATTCAAGAATGTCTCCAAAATTTCAGAAAAAAATTCGGATTATTTTCGGAGATACAGACGAAATAGTGAGCAAGAGTCGAGCAGGTATACAATCGACCGCTTGCTCCACCCCTTGATCTAGTATGTATATTATAATGAAAAGGGACTAACGATCCTCCGAGACAGCTTAACTGTCAATAGGAGGTCTGTGGAGGTATCGGCTATAATAAAGTTACATTTTGCTTTCCGGTTCAGATTTAATTTGTCTCTCAGTACGAGAGCATCTTAAAAATATGAAGATCTATATAAAAACGAGCAAATCTGGGAGTGAGCGTAAGGGAAGTCCACGGAAGCGCAAATTCCAAGGCAATCAAATTTTGAAAGTTTCTTCATCGGACGATGGAGAAGCTAATACGCGCCGCAGTGAGCAGAAATTGGCATCTGCGACTAAGGACAACATTATAGTTTATCCGTCTCATTGTTACCGCATAGTTTGTGTCTGTGTTTTTGACAATTTCGGAGTTAGTTATTTGCAATTCGTGTAAGCAAAGAATAACGTCGACCAAAGATGCCAGAACAGCCCGACGAATGGAGTAAGTGGCCGAAAACCAATTTTTTGAAGAGTCCGAAAAACAGTCAAACAGTCAAACTGTTGAAATTTTCACTTTTTGTTGAATATTCTTGGTTCACCTGCGATCATTTTGAGTGTTGTAGGAAGATAAGTTCATACAGGAGAACTTTGTCATCATCATTTACAAAAATTACATCAAGCAAGAAATTCGCTGTACTGGTGTAATGGGTTCGCATCACAGAATTTACAATTTATACTCCTAGAGATTTTATATTGCTCCGAAAGTTCAGTTCGTCTAAAATATTAGTCATACAGGAGAACTTTGTTATTATCTTCTACAAAAATGACATCAAGCAAGGTGTTCACCTAAACTGGTTCAATGGGTTGGCATCACAGAATTTACAATTTATACTCCTACAGATTTCATATTTTTCCTAAAGTTCAATTCGTCTAAAATATAACTGTTTAAATCACCTACCTAAATAATCTGTGGAATAGGTCTGCTATTGAATTAATAACAGCCGAGTAATCGGTAAGACAGATTGGTTTATAAATACATACATATACATTCATATATATACATACAACATTAATAAGTTGAAGAATATTTTGTTTATTATTTAAATTTGGTGCTGTGAGGAGTTGAATAACTTTCCTTAAATAAAAGCAAGCATTGCGAGCAATCACGCAAGCATTGGCCTACCGGTTGCCAAATACGCGGCGAATTTGCCTGTAGGAACGATAGTGCGACGAGAGAGTATGGTGACGTATGCACAGAAAAAGACCAAGACAGCAGCAACAGGAGAGAGCCGATAACTAACGGTTAACTGAGACCTTTATAATCAGGCCGTGCGCAGGAAGCTGGTATCACTCACTATGTAGACCAGTAATCAGTGAAACAACGTAAAAAATCAAGTGGAGCCGTGCGCAGTCAACAAGAAGCAAGATCTGCTGGTGTCTCGAAGAACGTAGGCGTTGAGAGCCCAGCAATTCACCGCTCGAGACCTAGAGCTGCGCCTGGTTCTGCAGAAGCAAGCAAGGACCAGAGCCAGGACATCGTATCAGGACATCGTACAATAGCATCGAGGTCTACGAGCGTCAAGCGAGGGCATCGAGAAGAAGCTAGCTATCGGTTCCTACAACAGTCCGCGGCGAAAAGGCTGGTATTTTTGTTTAAATCTATTTATTATAAAAACAAGAAAGAAAGCAAACTTCGGCAAGCCGAAGTTCATATACCCTTGCAGCTATCGCAAGAATTAAATATTTTTGAAAACATTAAAATTATGATTTACTTGAGTATATGCTGAAAAACATTGAAACTATGATGATTTGCAGCTCAATTATAAGATAGTTATTTTATATATTTTTATTATTTCTATGGGAGCTATATGATATAGACGTCCGATTTTGATAAAATTTAAACCATAATTCTGAAATAATTAAACATTGCTATATGTCGAAGAACTAAACAAAAAATTAAAAAACAGAAAAGTTATAATTTTTTTTCATTTATTTTTCCGATTGTTCCTATGGGAGCTATATGCTTTAGTCGTCCGATTTTGATGAAAATTAAAACATAATTCTGAAATACTTAACCATTACTATATCTCGAAGAACTAAACAAAAAATTAAAAAACAGCAAAATTATAATTTTTTTTCATTTATTTTTCCGATTGTTCCTATGGGAGCTATATGCTATAGTCGTCCGATTTTGATGAAATTTAAACCGTAAATCGGAAATATTTAACCATTACTAAATGTCGAAGAACTAAACAAAAAAATTAAAAAACAGCAAAGTTATAATTTTTTTTCATTTATTTTTCCGATTGTTCCTATGGGAGCTATATGCTATAGTCGTCCGATCCGGCTCGTTCCGACTTATATACTACCTGCAATAGAAAGACAACTTTTGGGAAAGTTTCATGCAGATAGCTTTAAAACTGAGAGACTAGTTTGCATATAA